CATACATATTATGGATGGTGTATTATGTGTAGGCCATCAGGATCAGAATGAGAGTTAATGATGGCGTCCTAGACTCATAAATAATTTCGATGGCACATTATGTCACCCACCAGTGACTCTGGTGGCGTGTCATATATATAAGGTATATGAATCGGCACTGTTGGAACAATCAACATCATATTATGCACAGCAACATGCCGGTGACACCTCAGACCTCTCAACAGGGTTTGAGACAATGTGTTCTAGTTGGAAGTAACATCACCTTTAGGTAAGTGGTTCAGTATGGTGCGCGGTAAAAAAAACTCATGGAAGGTTCACCTAAAGCTTCCAAATTTCCCCGGTGCACATACTGAGTAGCTCTGATGTCGGCACTGACTTCAAGTGAGTAATGCAGTTACAGAAAAACTTGCAACAAGACCCACCATGTGCAGGGAATCCCATCAAAACAACAGATTTATTCATAGAGGAACACAGACTATGAGTGAGGTTTTGAAATTTAGATTTGTGCAGCGTCTAATGAAAAGCTCACTTAGGCAATAGTGAACAATTTATACATGAAGGATCCGAGTTACATCGAGTCAAGGAAGAGCTAACAAAGGCGGAAAAGATTATCGCAGACCTCTTGGATAAGGTGATCATGTACAGGTATAGATGGCTGGAAGAGTATTATCGTGCCGACAACCTTGAACGCCATATGCCCAGTGACATCCTGGTACCTGTCCTCGCTCAGATACCCCAAGGTGCTTCTTCTCCTGGGTTCTCTCCGGAGTTCTTGGCCTGGGAAAGCATGTGAGAAGTTCGGCACGGGGAGGGCATACCAGGGAGACTTGGAAAGAGTGCCAGGCACCTGTGCGAGAACGTATTGTACGCTGGAAAAATAGATTCATGACTGCTCGAGTAAGTATAATATGTACTCTATCTTATCATGTTTGTGCCTTTTCCACAAGACATATCTGATCGAAATGTAGAGTGATATTAGTCATCAGTGACATGGCAACCTCAACAGTATTCTTCTTCACATTACACTTTGTGACAGAAAAGATACGACCACGAGAATCACCTTCTAGAACAAAGACGAGTTGGTTTTTTTTACATGGAGGAGCTGGATATAGATCCCTGGCGGGGATATGATAATGTTGAAGCGCGGCACCTGCATTACTGGATGTGCAGAATACAGCGACACAATCCTCGGGTGCAGGTCCATTCGCACCGCAAAAGGGGTCGGGACAAGCTGTTGACACAAACCGTTTGTGTAACCTGCCTCCCATGAAGCCTGCTGAGACTTTCAACATGGCGTGATGCAGAAGAAACATCGAGGAATACTCCTTGCCCATTAACCAAGGTAGAGGGCCTGTCATACGATCAAATAAGCAAAACATCTGATTCCTCCAAAGAAAACCCGCCATTTTCTTGGAGTTTCTCTGCTCTAGCATCAATATTATCCTGGGTGTCCCGAGGATTGACAATCCAGGGGTCAAATGTCGATGAGCTGAGTGTGATGTTCGATGATTCGTGAAACGCAGTACCCTCTTGGTTGTCGGTCCAGGAAGTCCAAGACGGCAAGCTGCTATCTGCGCTGGTCGAAGAACTGGCTGGAAGCTGGATAGGTGGGGGGGTAATGCTTCGATGTTGCTTTATTATTGTATAGGATCTTTTCCAGATTTCACAGAAAGAAACCAGGTCCGGTCCCTCCAGCATCACACCATTCAATCTCATTCCATAGCTAACAGTCATTAACAACTTAATCACCATGAAAATATATGTGTGGCACTCTCACCTAGTCACAATGTCCTGGCGACTGAGTGTAATACGTGGCTGCCCATGTACAGCAACTCTGCAAGTCTCTGAACCGACGCTGTATAGCGTAGCTCGGTATCCCTTCCATTCGCCCCCAACAATAAAAACTTCTTGGCCAATGACCTTATTAAAGGAATCCAAGCTCGCATTGCATACCTTTATCACGAATCCGATTGGGATGTCGATCTTTAGCAGTGTCAGACATGCTTGAGCCAAATTAATTGATGCTCACGAGGGAGTAATCACTATCAGATAGAAGGGTCAAGCGAGCGTTTGGAAAGTCAATGCTTCACACGACCCCTTTCCTCTGATACTCCGACCCACAGGTGACACTCACGACATCTCCGGGCCTCACATCATAGCCCCTTTCCTGTGTGTACTCGAGGGTATCGGGGAGCTTGGTCCACCGAACAACTGTCGTAGGAACTTGAATTCTTGACAGTACAACACTATATTTCACATCATCGACAGCCAAGGTGAAGTTCATATCCCGGAACCACAGCATGGTGCCCCCCATAGAAAACCACTCCACGACGCCGCATTTCCTCCAGTGCTCGCCCGCAAGCACTTCTATGTGATCCCCAACTTCTATAGAATCGGACTCAGGGAGAGGCTCGAAGCGTTGCTGCATGGGTAGCGACGCTTGAAATGCGTGATGCAATGGGCAACAATCTAAGTAGTACCTCGAAATGAGTACCTATATAATGAATGTTAGCTAGTTATTTTGATTCGCAGATGGAAACTAACCTCTTCTTTGGAGACTGCTTGACAGACGTGGAACACATCATCACATATCTGAATAATGTGCCCCTCTAAACCCAAGTATGGACCTGCAACAACTCGAACTTCGTCGCTGACACGAAAGATACGCTCTATATCTTCAAGCCGAACATCAATTTCTCTTCGATGTCCATCGAGGGTTATTTCCAAGTGCGCGGAGCCAATAGCGTGATCCGTCGAGATGACTGTACTGGCCTCTGAGCAAATTCCTCCTGCAATGACCTTGACAGGGTCGCCTACGCGCAAGAATTGCATCGAAAACACTAACAATGTTTTCTTGACGAAGGGTGTGTCCCACCCAGACTGCATATGCAGTCGGATGTCATCAGCATGAGGAGATGCAACGATTTCTAGGCGATCACAGTGAAATTGTTTCGCTAAGAGTCCCATATAGTATAGTTCGCCTTTATAAGAGCATCCCATGACTTTTCCATTGTGGATAATATCATGAATGGCTTGATCATTATTAGGGAGGTGGGATCAGTCTAGTAGGGCCACAGAACCACCAGGCATGGGATAGGGAAAGTCCCAGAGAGTGATCAAGACGGTAACAAAACCATTCGATTGATCAGAATCAAAGACATATCCCATGTCACCCTTATACTTTCCATATTTGATCCTCACCCACCCTGGGTTGGGAAGTTTGGACCTTAAATGTTTGACTGCCTGACGCTCCTCGTCTGAAATCCGAACGTATTGTTTAATGGCAAAACTATCTGAGGCTGGAAGCAACATTGAGATAGCTTTAGGGCTATCTGCGACAACATACAACTGGCCTGCTGCCCATGCTGACACCATAATGGGAAATCCTTGACTCCTAAGGTGTTCAGCGATGTAATCTGCGCCATTTCCTGGCATACAATGAGTAAGGTCACACGTCATTAAGAATGAACATACTCTGAACATGGAGGAGGTACATTCTGCCTTCGATTGCACGGGAGGATGAGGCAGCCTTGCAAGAGTGAGTCTGGTGAATTTCTAATGAGAAGGATCGCCTCTCTCTGATCCTATCGAAAATGTTGTCAAATGCTGAAGCCAACCTATCCTTAGCTGATGGTCCAGAAAAGTGTGCAACCTTAGGCAATCGCACAGAAGGGGCATCTTCGACCTCGTCCTCGCCCTCATCTTCGACATCTACCTCTTCTCTTTCACTTTCATCTGCTTCAGTAATGATGTACGGATTTCGCTGTATTTGTTTAGTATAAAATTCGTCAGAATAATATACTCACTTACTTTGAGACATTTACGCAGTTGTTGAGCATGAGTGCTTGAGTCCGTCCTCGACTATATTTGTTGTTTAGTATCAGTCGTCAGAGATGATGACACACTTACTTGGGGGCGTTTACACGGTCGTTGAATGGGAGTGCTTGAGAGGCGGCTGTTTACCCTTAATGAAGACGACAGTAGGGGTATGTGCTTGACCTTTAATGCATAAAGGTTTGCTAAGGTGATGCTGTCATCGCCATCGCCAGAGAATAACGTGTCTCTAGCATCCTTCCAGTCGTCCGCGATGTATCGACTGCCGAGGTATGCAGAAAATACCTTTTCCATCTGAGGGTACATCATGTCAGTAGTGAGGAACTGTTCAAGAATTCGCCATGCGCCTTCATCTGCCAACAGCGATGGTGCTGCCCAACAATTTCCTATCAGACACACAGGCTCATGAGTGACAATACATTCGACATCTGATCAAAACTCACGGTCATTAGTTCTCATGCACCTCGGGGCATGGTCATCATCGCTACAGGCTGCACTTTTAAACATTCCGTCTAGTCCGACGACACCTTTAATTTCTGCAGAACATAATGAACCTATAAACTTACATGTTATGTCCCCAGCACCTCGATTATCTGTGTTCTCCATTCTAACTATAAATATGAAGTCGAGATAGTTAGCGGACAAGAAGCCTGGAATTGCATATCCTCTGTACTTGTATTGAACGACTAATTTAGCTTACTAAACAAATGCTGGAATCGCGACTCGGAACGTTGCTACTAAGTATTATGTTTTGACAATGTTTCGAAGTATATAAAGTATGAAAATACGCGCAGTCCCTGTAACAGTATTATACTATGAACATGGTATGGTACTCTAGAGGTCGGAAAGAAATTATGTTGAGGTCGGGAAGAGTTGATATACAGAATGACAATGATTTAAACCCAGTTGGCAATTCCCGATATATTCCAGAAGTATTCCCAATGACAAGTCTAGGTTCTGTTTGCAAGAAACTAGCTAGGGTTCACTGTGCGAACTTATGACCTTGCTCTGGAGAATTTTTAATTCATGGGAATCGGCTTTGTCGACCTCTTCCAACACTCGTCATTTTCGGACCCCTGAATCTGCCTGACGGCAGTCCTAAGTCTGCTTGTTTTTCGTTCTCACTGCGATAAGTATTTTTTTCAGCCAATTAATAGGTTGGCCTTGAGCGAAGGGCTCATGTACGAAAAGGCACTGAGGCTGTGGAAGGCGAAGTGGAGATGGATGAGGGTGGAGAAGGGTGGGTTAATATGGGCTCTGTAAAGGTGAATACCTAGCCTGAATCTGGGGAGGGTAGCTTAGTTGCATTACAGGCTACTGCAAAGAAAGATCCTTCAATGGTGTCACGCTTTCACTTTGTGCGAGAGCATACTCTGCATGGCACTGTCACTGGCATGGAGAGCATGCGCATTATGTCAACTTATGACGACCAACTAGATCGTCTATTAGTGTCCTTCAAGGACACCAAGGTATTATGGCATGTATTCTGCGTCTCATAGCGGTTCTTGATTATAATTACAGATAGCTCTTCTTGAGTGGTCAGATGCTGCACACGATCTTGTCACCATTTCAATACATATGTATGAGCGAGCGCCTCAGATGGTTGGTGTTTGTCTTCATTGATGTGCGTATATGTGACCAGTTTTCAGGTTTCATTGGATAGTCCTCTTTCAGAACAGAATTGCGTGCAGACCCCTTGTCCCACTGTGCAGCACTATCTCTTCCAAAGGACGCATTCACTATTCTTCCGTTCTTTCAGACTCAAGCAGAACTCGATGTAATGGAACAAGAACAAAACCATACAAGGTATGCATTCTTCTGAATTCCCCCACTTCTGGCTCGATACAAATTTGAACAACCAACAGGGACATACCATACTCTCCAAGTTTCATGCTAGACCTCATCAACAATGTCGATGAGCGCATTTGGAACGTCATCGATTTTGTTTTCCTCCCTGGATACAACAATCCAACGGTTGCGGTGCTTTGCCAATCTGAGCAGACGTGGGCTGGGTACATGGCATACTTTGCTTAATTTTCACACAATGACACGTTCCACATAGTCGTCTCAAGGAGTACCATGTTACGACAAACGGTCGTGTGCGACTAGGATAATCTAACAGCGACAACCACAACAGTGGTACTGTTACAGGGATCTGTAACACCTACTAGAGCCCCAGCTCTCCCTACGCCTGCCCCCGCTCTGCTAGACTCCCCGCGCGGTGGTGCGCCGCCTGCGCCTAGAAAGACAGCGGTCTGGACCGCTATGACCCCGCCCCCTGGCGCTATGACCCCGCCCCCTGGCGCTATGACCCCGCCCCTGGCCTAGACGGCCTTGTACCTGATCCATGGAGGCTGTACGCCTCATGGACACCCTAGATCAGCGCATGTATACCACATGTCGCTTCATGAAGATCCGGAGCGCGCTTGGCGCTTCCTGTACCTATGCGCAGCTGCCCTTGGCGCAGCATGCTTGATCAGAGGTTAAGCCTCATGTATCTTATCTGACCCTCATGTCTGGCTATCATAGATTCCGATATACTATTGATTACAGACTGAGCTAGAATACTTGTAGTACTTCCCTATAAGTAGACACAGATTATTGTACTAAGACTTTACTTTAATCTACTAGGTTCATCCCCAGAACTTGCTCATCTAAGCCTACCAGCTTCCTTGTGTGAGACCGCACTTCTAAGTCGCCCCCATACGACTTAGCACGTATCCGCTAGCCCTGCATCTCGACGAGCGCCGTCTTACCGAGATCGCCGGAGGAATCCTTGACGTTCCGTCAAGGCCAGACCACGCTCAGCTTCAGTAGACTCACTCGAGTCGTCGCTGAGAAGACCCATCCTAGTTCGCACACGCCGACCGACGGTCAGCGTAACAGGTACCGAGTGCTGAGAGTCGTCGGCCTTTACAGACAAGCAAAGGTTGCGTACTCGAACGTAGCTCGTGGTGGTTTAACGAGGGGTTACGCTGAGATGATAGCAGGGTTTACAGACAGTGAGAGGCGTCACTGAAGGTACGAGTCGATGTCAAGCAGGTAGCTTTAGCGGGACAAGGAGTTCAAGGGTAAACCTAGTAAGATTAAAGTAAGGAATGCCTACTTTAATCTTCGACCTTATATAAGGCTACTCTTCGTATCTAAGCTCAGCCTAAAGCTGGGTTCTAATCTGCTTATCTACATGAGTCAGAGATAGTGTCCATGAGGCGGGCTTCTATCGTAGATAGGATCCATGAGGCATCCTTCTATCAGTACATGAGGCAGCACGAGGCTTGCCTTCTATCTTGATAACATAAATAGGTCTTCTAGACCTATGTCGTCATGTCATGTCACGTGCGGTCCAGACCGCTTATCGTCTATCGTCATCTATCGTCATAGAGCTGGTGAGACTCTGGTATCGTCTATAGCCGTGCGGTGGCAGAGGGCTGTCTGCTGGCGGGGGACTCGTGCCATGTTACTGTAACATACCATGACACAGCTCGCCTCTATATATTCACCTTGGATCTCATGGGTCGAAATTACCCCATTATCACGGCTGTCAACGGTCTCCCTTACGACAGCATGTCTCTCCTCCCCTGCACAACTTCACTTGGAGGTGTCATCGTCCTCACAAGCAATTCCATCATTTATGTCGATCAAGCAGCTCGCCATGTGTCCCTTCCTGTCAATGGCTGGGCTACACGTGTAAGTGATATGCCAATGCCTCCAGCAGACAAAGACCTTGGCCTGTATCTCGAAAGTAGTCGGCTCGTGTTTGTCGATGAAAAGACTTTCTTTGTTATTCGAAAGGATGGCATGATACACCCCATCGAGATTATCCTTGACGGGAGGACTGTATCTAAACTAGTGCTATTCCCCGTTATTGCTCAGACAACCATACCAGCTGTCGCCAGACTACTAAATGACGACCTGCTTTTTGTAGGCAGCATGGTTGGACCGTCAGTATTGATGAAGACTGCTAGAGAAGAGGTACCTCTTGAGCTTCCTGCGCAGCAAACTGGTGTTTCCGCCACTATGAATTTTTCTGATAGTATGGATTTAGACAATGATGATGGTTGGTTGCATTTCCACTTGGTTTTGAAACTCTGCTGATGCGCCACAGATCTATACGGCGATTCACAGACAGCCACACAGATGGCAGTTGGAGCAGCATCGGGAGCTAGTGCTATGACAAAGACTCGTTCCATCATTCACCTTTCATTGTGTGACTCGTTACCTGCATATGGCCCAATTGCTGATATGACATTCTCTCTTGCTAAGAACGGAGTAAGTATATGACTTTTGATTGGTCAGACTCTGCTCAATCTTTTTTAGGAACATTTTGTTCTGGAACTTGTTGCTGCCACAGGAGCAGGTCATTTAGGCGGATTCACCCTTTTCCAAGTGAACTGCTTGCGACTCTCATCACGAAGTCTATGCCTGAAGTATTGAATGAATTCGTGTCAGCACTGTGAACCTTCTGGTTGAACATTTTCTCCTGCTGCTCTCTGCTTTCTTTCAAAATGTTTATGAGCAACGTTCTCCCGAGTCGGACCGAAAAGTGGATTATGACGCTGACTAAGACTCAGCATGTTCCACATCTCCTTAATTATTAAATACAACAGCCCGCTGGGCATCCCAGGACCCTCTCAATTCCATGTCACTCATTTCATTTCAAACCTGCTCCAAAATAGAACCCTTTCACAATGTGTAGTAGCTACGTGTCTTTCTTCATATCTTACGCTGATACCAACCACTTGACCCACAACGGAAGCTTGGTCTTTCGTAAGTGTGCAACTCCTCGATGAAAGTCATCAAACGTAGTGGGGTCTAAAGGGTCAATCTGGAGACCTGGCCGACGAAAGTGTAGTTCGTGTTGCTGATATTCTTCGAGCAGCTAACAAAGCTCTATGCGGAGATCAAGGGCAGTGTGGCATTCACTGCATGCAGAAAGATCAAGTCCACCTCTTCCCAACCACATCTTTACTTGGATGAAGTGATGCAAATTTCTTGCAATGACTGTTCAGATGTAGCGCTTACCATAATCCATGCCTTTGCATTCCACAGTGGCCTGGAGGAGATGATTGAGGTACTCTTGCAAGGAATCAACACCCATGAAGGCTACCATGTTGCCCAGTAAGGTTGACGAATAGGCTGCGATTCTGATGGTACCTCGATGGATAGTCGCTGAACCTAAGTTTGATGTTTCAGCAGCCTTCTAACATTGACGTGATAACTTCGAGGTGTGCCATGACAGACAAGGACTATACATGAAGTTTGGCAAGGCTATGACCCATATTTGCATACAGTCTCTGAAAATCGATAAAGAATCTGTGGACGAGCCTTTTTGGAATGATGAATTTTAGTGAACCCGAAGTTGTTTCATTCGCGATACATTCATGGCTTGCCATGCCGCCTATGACCAGCTTAATGATAAGGAAACCTTGGCATTGAAAGAAGACGTGATACAACTGCCAGTGCACGCACACTCTAAGATGGACTGCCCCGATATCAACTTTCAGATTCGGAGTACAAAATGTGATAATCTGTCCTGGTCGCAGTGATTCAAATGAGTGTTAGCCCATCTGTGAAGATTTTGACTGGATCGTTGATTACCTGTCAGATGAAGTAGAGCACGACAAAGCCGATGAAACAATGATGCTTTGCTTGCACTGAGCACGATGTGTGGACTAGGAAGCTCTGCCAAGCAATATGGGCTCTACTAGACCTTCAGAATATACTTAAGCCAGGCTGGTCACGAGCCTACCTTCGGAAGCCTTTCTGAGGAATGGTATAGCTCATGCTGCACGCAGTTGACATCGCAATAACTTTGGCCCAGGAATTATACAACAATCTGTCTCCTAAAATTGAGGACCAGAATTCCTTGCAAAGGGTCGATATCAATGGAGCTGATGAACATGTGGTATGTCCTGCTTTTGATATTAATAATTAATGCAATAATAAAATCCATGTGCATTCGTAAACATGAACCGTAGATATGCAATGCGATATGATAAGTGGGCTCGACCATGTATGAGACCCCAACAGGACGAGCAAGAAGATCAATATCTAGATGAGAATGCGATGATGAAGATGTGCAGGGCTGCAGGCCATGATGCATTGATGTCTATTAGGAAAGGGAAGAGAGACAGGAGCCGAATGAAAATGTAACAATCAAACATCAACAAACAATATAAAATGTCTGGTATGATCGGGGGTACTCATATCCTCCACGGAAACCAGTACCCTTTACAGGGTCCTGGAATACAACAACCCTACGGGTACACCTGGACCTGTTATTTCTCAAACACCATACTCTTTCTTAGAATTGACATTTACATAATGCAGACAATGCACCTCAAAGTGTGCAGCATATACAGAGCGACGAAGGCACAGCCATGGCACAGAACAAAGAACGGTGTGTGGTCATGGTGGTGTTCTGTTCCCGAGTTACTACTACTAGTGGCGAGATGTTTAACATGGCACGAGACGAGGCCTTCGCAAGAGTGCACATCTGTTCACTCGAGTGAGCAATATGCTTAGGTAGAATTTGAGCGGTGTCGCATGTGCAGCAAACACTTGAAGATCACCGTGACAGACTCTATACTAGTCGTATTGTTTCCTCAGCGGTCCTGTCTGCAACCCTGAGGCCTGAGTACAGTACAGTTTATGTTTGCCTTGCACGCTGTCTTGCACTTACTTTATTCTGTTTCTAGACTCGTTCCTTAGGTATAATCAACGTCATGGTGGTTCTATCTGCAACCCTGAGGCTTGAGTACGGTACAGTTTATGTTTTCCTTGCACACTGTCTCGCACTTACATTATTTTGTTCCTAGACTCGTTCATCAATGTCATAGCGGTTCTGTCTGCAATACTGAGACTCGTTCCTTCCACTTACAACATAATGAAGCGCACTTTGTTAATATCAACATTAACACATCGAAGGTACTAGTACTGATGTGCTCCCGCAGGTGAGTACTCATACTGAAAATGGTTTTTAGTATGGATTTCTGCATTACCTGTCGATCCTGAGCCAAGTGCAAATGTTGCAATATTATGATTCAATTTGTTTAAACCAATGAAAATTTCTTATGTTCTGATTGTTCCATTTAGCACTCTGGGGTAAGCATCAGGATCGAATCTGAGGTCCAGGCCCAAAGAAGTTTTGAGAAGTGTATCAATTTCTACTTTTATCCCATTCACGGCACAGCTGTAAGCTGTTCCATTGCTCATGTAGGCATATAAAATGAGTATGGCTGATTGATATGGTCCTCCACTCCAGTCCTCTCCCCCTTACACACTCGTTACAAATGCCCTCCAAGGCAAGATCATCACCAGGCTTCACT